GTCTGGGTATGAGGAAGCTGTCTGCCCGATGGGTCCCGAAATGTCTGAGTGATGATCAGAAGGCTGTACGTGCGTCAATGTGTCAGGCATTTTTGACGCAATGCAGTCGGGATGCAGACAACTTTATGGAGAGAATTGTTACTGGTGATGAAACCTGGGTACTCCACTATGACCCAGAAACAAAAGAACAGAGTAAGCAGTGGGCTGGCTTTGCTTCACCCCGTCCCAACAAGTTTAAGACTCAACCATCGGCTGGCAAAGTCATGGCAACCATCTTTTGGGATACCTAAGGGGTCTTGCTCATTGACTACTTGCTACGTGGCCAGACTATTACTGGAGAGTACTACTCCGATCTCCTGGGCCGTTTGCGGACTGCTATTCTTGCCAAACGTCGTGGAAAGATCACAAAATGTGTGCTGCTCCAACATGATAATGCCAGAGTGCACACATGTCGACTTGCGGTTCAAAGTATTGCCTCATCCACCTTACTCACCAGACCTGGCACCAAGCGACTACTTTCTCTTCCCAAACTTGAAGAAAGAACTGCGTGGACGTCATTTCCGGTCCGATGATGAACTCACGACAGCATTTGAGGGGTGGTTACACGAACAACCCAATGGTTTCTATCACAACGGGCTTTTAGCTCTCACACATCGCTGGACAAAGTGCATAGACCTCAATGGTGATTATGTGGAAAAAGAAGAAGTGAGGAGCAGTAGCAAATAGGTTAGGCTGGTTATATATTGAATGGCACTCGTATGTCCTAAGCCTCTCCTATGGACCAATCCGATTCCATCATTTGCATTTCTTTCAAACAAAATGGCGGCGCCCAGTCAAGACGATCTCATCGATAATCAAGATCTATACTGTGATAAAACGGGTTTTACATCGCGAAGTGCATCAAATCACGCGAGCACCTAAATGAAAACATGAAAATTTTTGGAAAATATCTGTGGACAATGAGTTTGCGGTGAACATGCTCTACAAATCCTGCAATCGACCGAAATCAGCGCGACAGTTTACGAACCGGATTTCGATTTCGTTAGTCCAGCCAAAATGTCACTCTATAATACCAGCCTAGTTCGGCAAGGGTGGAAACTGGACTCAGTTAATTTCCTTGCCTCGGGAAGATGTGATATGGCAGGAAAGACAAACAACCGTCTATCTGATAGCCCAGAAAGATGAGAGCCATGCCAGTGACAGCTCAGATGGATGAAATACCATTACATTGATAGGTGAGGGGTGGATGGACAACCGTCACATTGATACTTTTAAGGAATGAGCAACCGTTACATTGATAGGTCTGATGGATGATAATAGTCACATTGATAGGTCACACTGATGGACAACCATTATACTGATAGGTCAGATGGATGGACTACCGTTACATTGATATGTCGGATGTATGACAATCGTCACATTGATAGCCCTGGGATGGATCGATGACCGTTACATCAATAAGATGGCTGACACTTGTTACAGTGATAGCTCTGTTGGATTGGCAACCGTTACATATATAATTCAGATGTATGACAATCGTTACTTTGATAGGTCAGATGGATTACAGTCGTCACATTGATAGCTCAGAGATGGATGTTCAACCGTTACATTGGCAGCTCTGATGGATGAACAATTGTCACATTGATAGCTTAGGTGTGGATGAACGACCGTTACATTGACAACGCTTATGGATGGGCAGCCGTTACATTGATAGGTCTGATGGATGATAATAGTCACATTGATAGGTCACATTGATGAACAACCATTATACTGATAGGTCAGATGGATGGACTGCCGTTACATTGATAGGTCGGATGGATGAACAATCGTCACATTGATAGCTTAGGTGTGGATGAACGACCGTTACATTGACAACGCTGATGGATGGGCAGCCGTTACATTGGGAGCTCTGATGGATGAACAATCGTCACATTGATAGCTTAGGTGTGGATGAACGACCGTTACATTGACAACGCTGATGGATGGGCAGCCGTTACATTGGGAGCTCTGATGGATGAACAATCGTCACATTGATAGCTTAGGTGTGGATGAACGACCGTTACATTGACAACGCTGATGGGTGGGCAACCGTTACATTGATATGTCAGAAGGATGACAACCGTTCCGTTGACAGGATAGAAGGATGACAATCGTAACACTTGCAGATCAGTTGGGCCCAACAACCGTTTCAATCACGTATCATATAGGTGGATAACCGTTACAGTGACACATCATAGTTAAAGGTCGGGAAATGCGGACAATCTATACACCGATATGTCAGGACGCTCGGACAACCGTCAAACTGGTATGTTGTTTGAGAACAGGAAACACGAGGTGTTGCTTGTATGGATACAGGGACAGGTTATCGTTTGGTGTTATAATTACATGCATGTGGAATGAGCTTCCTCATTCCGAATTCTCCTGTAACACGTTAACCCCCCGGGGAAGGCCGTGTGCCAGTACACTGCTCTACACACTGATAATCAGTGTGATAATCACTGATGGTCTGAGTCTTACGCTTAATTTGCTTCCTTGCATTTTGTGGTTGTGATCTGTAAAAGTGTCATGCCTGAATACCCGCCCACTTGAAATGAGATATTCCAATGACAGTCTAAAGAGGGCTGTACTGGATCTTGACTTAGGCGATGTCTAATAGGGGAGGAGTTGTTGAATGTCTAATAAGGGACAGAAGGTTTGTGAAGTCTCATATATTGTATTGACGTGAGACTCGATATGGCAGAGGTTAAGTCTCACATATTAGGTGAGTTGAAATGGGGTTAAACGTCGCTTCCCAGAATATTACACACTGTGTGTGCGTGCGTGTGCGTGTGCCTGTGTGTGCGTGTGCGTGTGCGTGTGCGTGTGCGTGTGCGTGTGGCTGCTTGTACTAGCCCGGACTAAGCCCACTCAGGAACCATGCCGCAGATTGACATGAATACCTAACTCAGACACAGTTTTGCTGACTCCGAGCCGACTCGTCCTCGTTTTAGCCCTTTAGCCGAGCGCCACGCAGGGTAACAACAAGTACCATCATTTAACGTCTTTTGGTATGACGCGGCCGGGGATGAAACCCCGGATTTTGCGCGTCGGACGGACGCTCTACAACGAGACCACGGAGTCTGTCCCTCAGATATTAACGAGATACCCTTTGTGGCAGAGGCTAAATCTCAGATATTAACGTAAGGCTCGTGATGGCAGAGGTTATCGAAGTCTCAGATATTAATGATAGACCCTATAAGGCAGAGGGTAATTTTTCAGATATTGACGTGAAACCACATATGGCTGAGGCTAAGTCTCACATATTATGTGAAACCCGAAATGGCAGAGGCTATATCCCTGCCTTCAATTTCAGAATTGGCTTCATACCTCCAGTGACAGAAGTGCGTTATTATAATGATGTATCTGTGTAAGTATCATCACCGCACCATATAGTCACATCAGGAGCTGTCATAACTGGCATCACCCAACCACATGGCAGGCTTCAGATGTCATTCAATCGTTGTTTGCTAGATGTCTACCAGTTAACAGTTAAATATTTTAATATACTCTCAGATTTATACTGGCCGTTCTACACTCGTTCTTACCACTTGAGGGGGCACGGGTGGCCCAGTCGTATAAGGCGCCGCGATTCGCTGTGCAGAGTTGCGTCCTTTGGGCACGCCAGAAATTATGATTGTGGGTTCGAATCCCGGTTCGCCCCGATTATGTTTCTAGGTTTGTCAGCACCATACCCGTGCTCGTGGGTTTCACCGAAGTGGTAAACGTCTGAGACCTGCATCACTTCGGGCTTTCCTCTCACATTAAGCTGACACGCCGCGATATAACTGGAATATTGTTAAAAGCGGCGTTAAACCCAACTCACTCACTCACTCTTACCACTTGAACAGTCCTTCTAAAACACGGCCGGTGCACTTCTCTGTGAGATTGTTCCTCCTACATATAAATCAGTGCCGTGACATGCCCCTCCTTAGCAACTGTCACTATGCTTTGTCTGGGAGAAGTGAATCCTGAACGGGTGAATACATACTCCTGCGAGTGGCCCTTGACCTGCCCACTCGCGTCCTTGGTTACGCCACACCCGACCTACTGAAGCCGACCTGCGGCCATTATGTATGGCCGCCCACCATCCCATTTCAACGTCGGCATATTGTTACGCCAGGGTTGTGTGAGTACACATTGTCACCAACGTGTTTAGAGCCACTGCCAAATACATAATGGCTCTGAACCTACATCGGCAGTCTCGTAATTTTTTATGCCGATACTATCACACCAGTAACGTATTTATACGATGACACTAGAATCGTATTCATACGATAACACTAGTAACGTATTTATACGAGTGAGTGAGTTGGGTTTAACGCCGTTTTTTAACAGTATTACAGTTATATCGCGGCGCGTCAGCTAAATGTTGGAGGAAAGCCCGATGTGATGCAGGTCTCAGACCTTTACCTCAGACGTATTTATACGATCACACTAGTAACGTATTTATACGACCACACTTGAGACGTTTTTATACGATGACACCCGTAACGTACCTCTACCGATATGGTCATACTAGTTACGCCTGTATGTCGATATACCCATACTACTGGTATCTATAGATATGCCCCAGTGGAATTCAGAAGGTTGTGGGCCTCGCAGGGGATAATGTTGAAAATACGCCAACTCCTTCAACACAGTCCATCCCAGTTCGTCTAAGAGCGGGGCGGTTGGGTAGGCTAGTGGTTAAAGCGTTCGTTCGTCACGCCGAAGACCCGGGTTCGAATCCCGACATGAGTACAATGTGTGAAGCCCATTTCTGTCCCCCACCGTGATATTGCTGGAATATTGCTAAAAGCGCCGTAAAACCAAACTCACTTACTCACTTACTCGTCTAAGAGTTTTCCAGCCATTTATACATGCCTATTTGGTCACACATCTCCACTAAACTCACAGTTTCTCAATTCCTAGAACAAAATGGAGCCGGGATAATGTGGTACCTCTCTATATATATATCGCAGGCAGACCAGGAAAATCGGGATGAGGCCCAACTTGAGGCGAGTCAGGCCGATCAGACAGAAGAAACAGCCGGGGACCCTGGAACAGCCGACACTCAGCAACGTATGTACACAGACAGGGTGGTAGTCACTGCATGCACACAGAGAGGGTGGTAGTCACTGCATGCACACAGACAGGGTGGTAGTCACCGCATGCACACTGACAGGGTGGTAGTCACTGCATACACACAGACAGGGTGGTAGTCACTGCATGCACACAGACAGGGTGGTAGTCACTGCGTGCACACAGACAGGGTGGTAGTCACCGCATACAAACAGACAGGGTGGTAGTCACTGAATGCACACAGACAGGGTGGTAGTCACTGCGTGCACACAGACAGGGTGGTAGTCACTGCATACACACAGACAGGGTGGTAGTCACTGCATGCACACAGAGAGGGTGGTAGTCACTGCATGCACACAGAGAGGGTGGTAGTCACTGCATGCACACAGACAGGTTGGTAGTCACTGCATACACACAGACAGGGTGGTAGTCACTGCATGCACACAGACAGGGTGGTAGTCACTGCATGCACACAGACAGGGTGGTAGTCACTGCATACACACAGACAGGGTGGTAATCACTGCATGCACACAGGCAGGGTGGTAGTCACTGCATACACACAGACAGGGTGGTAGTCACTGCATGCACACAGACAGGGTAGTAGTCACTGCATGCACACAGAGGGTGGTAGTCACTGCATGCACACAGACAGGGTGGTAGTCACTGCATGCACACAGACAGGGTGGTAGTCACTGCATGCACACAGACAGGGTGGTAGTCACTGCATGCACACGGACAGGGTGGTAGTCACTGCATGCACACGGACAGGGTGGTAGTCACTGCATGCACACAGACAGGGTGATAGTCACTGCGTGCACACAGACAGGTTCGTAGTAACTGCATACACACAGACAGGGTGGTAGTCAATGCATGCACACTGACAGGGTGGTAGTCAATGCGTGCACACAGACAGGTTGGTAGTCACTGCATACACACAGACAGGGTGGTAGTCACTGCATGCACACAGACAGGGTGGTAGTCACCGCATGCACACAGACAGGATGGTAGTCACTGCATGCACACTGACAGGGTGGTAGTCACCTTATGCACACAGACAGGGTGGTAGTCACTGCATGCATACAGACAGGGTGGTAGTCACTGCATACACACAGACAGGATGGTAGTCACCGCATGCACACAGACAGGATGGTAGTCACTGCATACACACGGACAGGGTGGTAGTCACCGCATACACACAGACAGGATGGTAGTCACTGCATGCACACAGACAGGGTGGTAGTCACTGCATGCACACAGACAGGGTGGTAGTCACTGCATACACACAGACAGGGTGGTAGTCACTGCATGCACACAGACAGGGTGGTAGTCACTGCATGCACACAGACAGGGTGGTAGTCACTGCGTGCACACAGACAGGGTGGTAGTCACCGCATACACACAGACAGGGTGGTAAGCACTGCATGCACACAGAGAGGGTGGTAGTCACTGCATACACACAGACAGGGTGGTAGTCACTGTATGCACACAGACAGGGTGGTAGTCACTGCATGCACACAGACAGGGTGGTAGTCACTGCGTGCACACAGACAGGGTGGTAGTCACCGCATACACACAGACAGGGTGGTAAGCACTGCATGCACACAGAGAGGGTGGTAGTCACTGCATGCACACAGACAGGGTGGTAGTCACTGACTACACACAGACAGGGTGGTAGTCAATGCATACACACAGACAGGGTGGTAGTCACTGCATGCACACAGACAGGGTGGTAGTCACTGCATGCACACAGAGAGGGTGGTAGTCACTGCGTGCACACAGACAGGGTGGTAGTCACTGCGTGCACACAGACAGGGTGGTAGTCACTGCGTGCACACAGACAGGTTGGTAGTCACTGCATACACACAGACAGGGTGGTAGTCACTGCATGCACACTGACAGGGTGGTAGTCACTGCATGCACACAGAGAGGATGGTAGTCACTGCATGCACACAGACAGGGTGGTAGTCACTGCATGCACACAGAGAGGGTGGTAGTCACTGCGTGCACACAGACAGGGTGGTAGTCACCGCATACACACAGACAGGGTGGTAGTCACCACATACACACAGACAGGGTGGTAGTCACCACATACACACAGACAGGGTGGTAGTCACTGCATGCACACGGACAGGGTGGTAGTCACCGCATACACACAGACAGGGTGATAGTCAACACATACACAGACAGGGTGGTAGTCACTGCATGCACACAGACAGGGTGGTAGTCACCGCATACACACAGACAGGGTGGTAGTCACTGCATGCACACAGACAGGGTGGTAGTCACCGCATACACACAGACAGGGTGGTAGTCACTGCATGCACACAGAGAGGGTGGTAGTCAACACATACACAGACAGGGTGGTAGTCACTGCATACACAGACAGGGGTAGTAGTCACCACATACACAGACAGGGTGGTAGTCACTGCATACACAGACAGGGGTAGTAGTCACCACATACACAGACAGGGGTAGTCACCACATACACATACAGGGGTAGTAGTCACCACATACACAGACAGGGGTAGTCACCACATACACATACAGGGGTAGTAGTCACCGCATACACAGACAGGGTGGTAGTCACCGCATACACAGACAGGGGTAGTCACCACATGCACATACAGGGGTAGTAGTCACCACATACACAGACAGGGGTAGTCACCACATACACATACAGGGGTAGTAGTCACCACATACACAGACAGGGGTAGTCACCACATACACATATAGGGGTAGTAGTCACCACATACACATACAGGGGTAGTCACCATATACACATACAGGGTGGTAGTCACCACATACACATACAGGGGTAGTCACGATATACACATACAGGGTGGTAGTCACCGCATACACAGACAGGGGTAGTCACCATATACACATACAGGGTGGTAGTCACCACATACACAGACAGGGGTAGTCACCACATACACATATAGGGGTAGTAGTAACCGCGTGTAGTCACCATATACACATACAGGGTGGTAGTCACCGCATACACAGACAGGGGTAGTCACCATATACACATATAGGGGTAGTAGTAACCGCGTGTAGTCACCATATACACATACAGGGTGGTAGTCACCGCATACACAGACAGGGGTAGTCACCACATACACATATAGGGGTAGTAGTAACCGCGTGTAGTCACCACATACGCAGACAGGGTGGTAGTCACCACATACGCAGACATGGTGGTAGTCACCGCATACACATACAGGGTAGTAGTAACCGCGTGTAGTCACCACATACGCAGACAGGGTGGTAGTCACCACATACGCAGACATGGTGGTAGTCACCGCATACACATACAAGGTGGTAGTCACCGCATACACAGACATGGTGGTAGTCAGCGCATACACAGACAAGGTAGTAGTTACCATGTACAGACAGACAGTGTAGTAGCCATTTCTTGCACGCAAACAATGTAAGCGCATTCGGAAAGGATGGTGGCACTCCATACTAACAAACAGTGTGGTAGTCACTGTAAGCGAACAGACAGCGTGGTAGCCGTTGCAGGCAAACAGAAAGCTCGGTAGTCATTGCGGGCAAACAGAAAGCTCGGTAGTCATTGCGGGCAAACAGACAGCTCGGTAGTCATTGCGGGCAAACAGACAGCTCGGTAGTCATTGCGGGCAAACAGACAGCTCGGTAGTCATTGCGGGTAAACAGACAGGATGGTAGTCTACCACACACGAGGTCAAGGAATTTCTTGTCCATGTGCATGTTGGATAGAAACTGCGTGCAAAAGCCATGATGGGTAGTCACTGCATAAATAGGTAATACATAATACATGACTATATTTTCTGATTTTGTGCAGCATCTGAGGAAGGTGGTCAGACTGATTCAGCAGAAGCAACAGAGAAAAAGGCTGACGAACAGGATCCTGGTAATGATGCTAACAACGAAGAAACTGCTGAAGCAGAAGGAAAACCTGAGCAGGAGCCTGAGCAGGAACCCGCTGAAGAAGTGACACCTGAGCAGGAACCCGCTGAAGAAGTGACACCTGAGCAGGAACCCGCTGAAGAAGTGACACCCGAACAGGAACCCGCTGAAGAAGTGACACCTGAGCAGGAATCCGCTGAAGAAGTGACACCCGAACAGGAACCCGCTGAAGAAGTGACACCCGAACAGGAACCCGCTGAAGAAGTGACACCTGAGCAAGAACCCGCTGAAGAAGTGACACCCGAGCAAGAACCCGCTGAAGAAGTGACACCCGAGCAAGAACCCGCTGAAGACGGACAGATAGTTGAAAATGGAACTGTCTCTGACTTGAATCTCTCTGAGGACCAGTTAGAAAGTAAGTAATTGCAATCTGATATTCATAACGTATATTTTTGTACGTCGACTTGAGTGTTTCCAGGGGCACGGGTGGCCCATTCGTCTAAGGCGCCGCGATTCGCTGTGCAGAGTTGCGTCCCTTGGGCACGCCAGAAACCTATGATTGTGGGTTCGAATCCCGGTTCGCCCAAATTATGTTTCTAGGTTTGTCAGCACCATACCCGTGCTCGTGGGTTTCACTGAAGTGGTAAACGTCTGAGACCTCGGTTACTTCGGGTTAAGCTGACACGCCGTGATATAACTGGAATACTGTTAAAAGCGGCGTAAAACCCAACTCACTCACTCACTAGTGAGTTTCCAGATATCTGTCAGAACTGCAGGGAGAGTATGCCATGCTATCAGCTAACCTGTAGAACTGCAGTGGGAGTTACCGTCTTACGATATCGCTTTAAGTAGGCGAGTGTACCGTCTTACCAGATTACTTTCAGAATTGTAGGGCGAGTGTACCGTCTTACCAGATTACTTTCAGAATTGTAGGGCGAGTGTACCGTCTGACCAGATTACTTTCAGAACTGTAGGGCGAGTGTACCGTCTTACCTATCCAGACATCTAGACAATGCAATAATGCAGTTAATTACAAATCATAGCAGCATATTGATCTGAAGTAAAGTCCAATCGATATCCCTCTGCTCTGCCTTACGATGTCGTACATAATACATAAGATCGATCTAAGTAGGGTGTCTTTGGCGAAGACTATTCTCTGCTTTTTTCTAGTTTTCATGATGTTTCTTTTATGAATGTTTAGTCTGCTTCTGCTTGGCAGTACTTGAAGTATGGAACGGTAAGGTTGCTACTGATTTCATCTCATTAAAATGCCACATGGTTCCAATGCATTATTAATAAGTTTGACTCAATGCTTCTTGTTTCCAGCTTTCCGCTACATGTTTAAAATCCACTCAGAAGACGACCGAATTAACTTCGAGCAGTTCAAACGTCTCCTGCGGTGCGCCGGGCACAACCCAACATCTGCTGATGCGCAGTCTATCTACGACGAGGCTGACAAAGACGGTAGGTGGGGGATCTATCGGCGACGAGGCTGACAAAGACGGTAGGTGGGGGATCTATCGTCGACGAGATTGACATGGACGGTAGGTAGGGATCTATCTACTAAAAGGCTGAAATTGACGGCAGGTTTGGGATCTATCTACTAAAAGGCTAACGAGAACGGTAGGTTGAGGATCTATCTACTAAAAGGTTAACAAGGACGGTAGGTGAAAGATCTATCTTCGACGAGGCTGACAAGGGCGGTAGGTAGGTATCTATCTACTAAAAGGCTCGCAAAGACGGTAGGTGGGGATGTATCTACAAAGAAGCTTAAAAGGACGGTAGGTGGGGGGATCTATCTACTAAAAGACTGACATGGACGGTATTTAGGGATTTATCTACTGAAAGGCTAACAAGGACGGTAGGTGAAGGATCTATCTCTTAAAAGGCTAACAAGGACTGTAGGTGGGGATCTATCTACTAAAAGGCTGACATGGACGGTATTTAGGGATCTATCTACTAAAAGGCTAACAAGGACGGTAGGTGGGGGATCTATCTACTAAAAGGCTGACATGGACGGTATTTAGGGATTTATCTACTAAATGGCTAACAAGGACGGTAGGTGGGGGATCTATCTACTAAAAGGCTGACAAGGACGGTATTTAGGGATCTATCTACTAAAAGGCTAACAAGGACGGTAGGTGGGGGATCTATTTACTAAAAGGCTGACATGGACGGTATTTAGGGATTTATCTACTAAAAGGCTAACAAGGACGGTAGGTGGGGGATCTATCTACTAAAAGGCTGACATGGACGGTATTTAGGGATCTATCTACTAAAAGGCTAACAAGGACGGTAGGTGGGGGATCTATCTACTAAAAGGCTGACATGGACGGTATTTAGGGATTTATCTACTAAAAGGCTAACAAGGACGGTAGGTGGGGGATCTATCTACTAAAAGGCTGACATGGACGGTATGTAGGGGATCTATCTACTAAAAGGCTAACAAGGACGGTAGGTGGGGATCTATCTACTAAAAGGCTGACAAGGACGGTATGTAGGGGATCTATCTACTAAAAGGCTGACAAGGACGGTATGTAGGGGATCTATCTACTCAAAGGCTAACAAGGACGGTAGGTGGGGATCTATCTACTAAAAGGCTGACATGGACGGTATTTAGGGATTTATCTACTAAAAGGCTAACAAGGACGGTAGGTGGGGGATCTATCTACTAAAAGGCTGACATGGACGGTATTTAGGGATCTATCTACTAAAAGGCTAACAAGGACGGTAGGTGGGGGGTCTATCTACTAAAAGGCTGACATGGACGGTATTTAGGGATTTATCTACTAAAAGGCTAACAAGGACGGTAGGTGGGGGATCTATCTACTAAAAGGCTGACATGGACGGTATTTAGGGATCTATCTACTAAAAGGCTAACAAGGACGGTAGGTGGGGGATCTATCTACTAAAAGGCTGACATGGACGGTATTTAGGGATTTATCTACTAAAAGGCTAACAAGGACGGTAGGTGGGGGATCTATCTACTAAAAGGCTGACATATACGGTATTTAGGGATCTATGTACTAAAAGGCTAACAAGGACGGTAGGTGGGGGATCTATCTACTAAAAGGCTGACATGGACGGTATTTAGGGATCTATCTACTAAAAGGCTAACAAGGACGGTAGGTGGGGATCTATCTACTAAAAGGCTGACAAGGACGGTATGTAGGGGATCTATCTACTAAAAGGCTGACAAGGACGGTATGTAGGGGATCTATCTACTCAAAGGCTAACAAGGACGGTAGGTGGGGATCTATCTACTAAAAGGCTGACATGGACGGTATTTAGGGATCTATCTACTAAAAGGCTAACAAGGACGGTAGGTCGGGGATCTATCTACTAAAAGGCTAACATGGACGGTATTTAGGGATTTATCTACTAAAAGGCTAACAAGGACGGTAGGTGGGGGATCTATCTACTAAAAGGCTGACATGGACGGTATTTAGGGATCTATCTACTAAAAGGCTAACAAGGACGGTAGGTGGGGGATCTATCTACTAAAAGGCTGACATGGACGGTATTTAGGGATTTATCTACTAAAAGGCTAACAAGGACGGTAGGTGGGGGATCTATCTACTAAAAGGCTGACATGGACGGTATTTAGGGATCTATCTACTAAAAGGCTAACAAGGACGGTAGGTGGGGATCTATCTACTAAAAGGCTGACAAGGACGGTATCTAGGGGATCTATCTACTAAAAGGCTGACAAGGACGGTATCTAGGGGATCTATCTACTAAAAGGCTGACAAGGACGGTAGGTGGGGGATCTATCTACTAAAAGGCTGACAAATACGGTATGTAGGGGATCTATCTACTAAAAGGCTGACAAGGACGGTATGTAGGGGATCTATCTACTAAAGGCTAACAAGGACGGTATGTAGGGGATCTATCTACTAAAAGGCTGACAAGGACGGTATGTAGGGGATCTATCTACTAAAAGGCTGACAAGGACGGTAGGTGGGGGATCTATCTACTAAAAGGCTAACAAGGACGGTAGGTGGGGGATCTATTTACTAAAAGGCTGACAAATACGGTAGGTGGGGGATCTATCTACTAAAAGGCTGACAAGGACGGTATGTAGGGGATCTATCTACTAAAAGGCTGACAAGGACGGTATGTAGGGGATCTGTCTACTAAAAGGCTGACAAATACGATATGTAGGGGATCTATCTACTAAAAGGCTGACAAGGACGGTATGTAGGGGATCTATCTAGTAAAAGGCTGACAAGGACGGTATGTAGGGGATCTATCTACTAAAAGGCTGACAAGGACGGTAGGTGGGGGATCTATCTACTAAAAGGCTGACAAGGACGGTAGGTGGGGGATCTATCTACTAAAAGGCTGACAAATACGGTAGGTGAAGGATCATCTATCTTCGACGTGGCTGACATGGACGGTAGGTAGGGATCTATCTACTAAAAGGATAACAAAGGACGGCATTTTGGGATCTATCTTCTAAAGGCTAACAAGGACGGTAGGTAGGGATCTATCTACTCAAAGGCTAGCAAAGGACGAAACGAAAAGTGAAAATGTCGGATTACTATCCTATTTGATCAGGAATGTGCTATCATTGTCTGAACGCAGTCATGTACGTTCGTAACAGAGTCCTACGGATCGGGAAAGATCCAGAGAGGTCGGCAAAGCACTCCCAACAGTATGGTGCGTGCCGAAACATTCGGGAAACTCAGCCGATTTTGTCTGGTCGGATTACAATCGTGACTATGTCGTGATATATTCTGTTTTATCGGATCAAAATCGTAACAATGTCCTGTGTTGTCCGGACGGTGTCCTGTGGATCGGGACGCGGTCGTGATGAACGGGCATGAATTGTTCATTGCCGTTTCTTGTCGACTGAGTCCAGATTGCGTCCAGATCTTGCCGAATGCGAACCTTCCTTGTCGGTTGACTGTCCGGTCACTGTCTGATCTCTGTCGGATCGTATTCGGGAGAGTTTCGGGCGTTTCCTACCATGCGGAAGATACAAATCGGATTGAGAACGGGAGAATCGGGACGAATTCGGCTGGAAACGGCTGAATCGGGACGCTTCCTGAACAATATCTGATTGTTTGTGAATTTCCCGCCATGAATCGCAGGATGGTTATCAGACTGTTGACAAATTTTAATCGGGAATGGTCCTGTCAAGGACGGCAGTAAAAATCCTGAATGTGTGAATGAGCCCTTAAGGATAAGAGTGGTACATTTGTTGGACGCAGCAATGTATCTCTTTTTGTACGAATTTGAATTGAGCTTAAGAATCCAGTACAAAAGAAGAATAGACATGTGTTCAGGTTTTAGGGTGTCAAAAGTTGATAGTACCGATACATGGTTTTGGTTTTGGTGTGTGAGTGGATAGTATGTATGTAGTGGGTAAAAGGATGGTATGGATTCAGTATGTGAAATGACGGTATGAATTCAGTATGTGAAATGACGGTATGAATTCAGCATGTGAAATGACGGTATGATATCAGTGTGTGAGAGGATGGTATGGATTCAGTGTGTGAGAGGTTTGCATGTATTTTGTGTGTGAGAGGATGGTATGGATTCAGCGTGTGAGAGGATGGTATGAATTAAGTGTGTGAGAGGTTTGTTTGGATTCAGTGTGTGAGAGGATGGTATGGTTTCAGTGTGTGAGAGGATGTGTGAGAGGATGGTTCTAGAGGATGGTATGAATTCAGTGTGTGAGAGGATGGTATGGATTCAGTGTGTGAGAGGTTTGTATTGATTCAGAGTGAGAGTGGTTGGTATGGATTCAGTGTGTGAGAGGATGGTATGGATTCAGTGTGTGAGAGGATGGTAAGGATTCGGTGTGTGAGAGGATGGTATGGATTCAGTATGTGAGAGGATGGTTTGAATTCATTGTGAGATGATGGTATGGATTCAGTATGCGAAATGACGGTATGAATCCAGTGTGAGAGAGGATGGTATGGATTCAGTGTGTGAGAGGTTTGTATGGATTCAGTGTGTGAGGATGGGTATGTATTCAGTGTGCAAAAAGGATGGTATAGATTCAGTATGTGAAATGACGGTATGGATTCAGTGTGTGAGAGGATGGTATGGATTCAGTGTGTGAGAGGATGGTATGGATTCAGTGTGTGAGAGGATGGTTTGAATTCAGTGTATGAGAGGATGGTATGAATTCAGTGTATGAGAGGATGGTATGGATTCAGTGTGTGAGAGGATGGTATGAATTCAGTGTGTGAGAGGATGGTATGGATTCAGTGTGTGAGACGATGGTTTGAATTCAGTGTATGAGAGGATGGTATGAATTCTGTGTGTGAGAGGATGGTATGGATTCAGTGTGTGAGAGGATGGTATGGATTCAGTGTGTGGGAGGATGGTATGGATTCAGTGTGTGAGAGGATGGTTTGAATTCAGTGTATGAGAGGATGGTATGAATTCAGTGTGTCAGAGGATGGTATGAATTCTGTGTGTGAGAGGATGGTATGGATTCAGTGTGTGAGAGGACGGTATGGATTCAGTGCGTGAGAGGATGGTATGAATTCAGTGTGTCAGAGGATGGTATGGATTCAGTGTGTGAGAGGATGGTATGGATTCAGTATGTGAAATGACGGTATGAATTCAGTGTGAGAGAGGATGGTATGGCTTCAGTGTGTGAGAGGATGGTATGAATTAAGTGTGTGAGAGGATGGTTTGAATTCAGTGTATGAGAGGATGGTATGAATTCAGTGTATGAGAGGATGGTATGGATTCAGTGTGTGAGAGGATGGTATGAATTCAGTGTGTGAGAGGATGGTATGGATTCAGTGTGTGAGACGATGGTTTGAATTCAGTGTATGAGAGGATGGTATGAATTCTGTGTGTGAGAGGATGGTATGGATTCAGTGTGTGAGAGGATGGTATGGATTCAGTGTGTGGGAGGATGGTATGGATTCAGTGTGTGAGAGGATGGTTTGAATTCAGTGTATGAGAGGATGGTATGAATTCAGTGTGTCAGAGGATGGTATGAATTCTGTGTGTGAGAGGATGGTATGGATTCAGTGTGTGAGAGGACGGTATGGATTCAGTGCGTGAGAGGATGGTATGAATTCAGTGTGTCAGAGGATGGTATGGATTCAGTGTGTGAGAGGATGGTATGGATTCAGTATGTGAAATGACGGTATGAATTCAGTGTGAGAGAGGATGGTATGGCTTCAGTGTGTGAGAGGATGGTATGAATTAAGTGTGTGAGAGGTTTGTTTGGATTCAGTGTGTGAGAGGATGGTATGGTTTCAGTGTGTGAGAGGATGTGTGAGAGGATGGTTCTAGAGGATGGTATGAATTCAGTGTGTGAGAGGATGGTATGGATTCAGTGTGTGAGAGGTTTGTATGGATTCAGAGTGAGAGTGGTTGGTATGGATTCAGTGTGTGAGAGGATGGTATGGATTCAGTGTGTGAGAGGATGGTAAGGATTCGGTGTGTGAGAGGATGGTATGGATTCAGTATGTGAGAGGATGGTTTGAATTCATTGTGAGATGATGGTATGGATTCAGTATGCGAAATGACGGTATGAATCCAGTGTGAGAGAGGATGGTATGGCTTCAGTGTGTGAGAGGTTTGTATGGATTCAGTGTGTGAGGATGGGTATGTATTCAGTGTGCAAAAAGGATGGTATAGATTCAGTATGTGAAATGACGGTATGGATTCAGTGTGTGAGAGGATGGTATGGATTCAGTGTGTGAGAGGATGGTATGGATTCAGTGTGTGAGAGGATGGTATGGATTCAGTGTATGAGAGGATGGTATGAATTCAGTGTATGAGAGGATGGTATGGATTCAGTGTGTGAGAGGATGGTATGAATTCAGTGTGTGAGAGGATGGTATGGATTCAGTGTGTGAGACGATGGTTTGAATTCAGTGTATGAGAGGATGGTATGAATTCTGTGTGTGAGAGGATGGTATGGATTCAATGTGTGAGAGGATGGTATGGATTCAGTGTGTGGGAGGATGGTATGGATTCAGTGTGTGAGAGGATGGTTTGAATTCAGTGTATGAGAGGATGGTATGAATTCAGTGTGTCAGAGGATGGTATGAATTCTGTGTGTGAGAGGATGGTATGGATTCAGTGTGTGAGAGGACGGTATGGATTCAGTGCGTGAGAGGATGGTATGAATTCAGTGTGTCAGAGGATGGTATGGATTCAGTGTGTGAGAGGATGGTATGGATTCAGTATGTGAAATGACGGTATGAATTCAGTGTGAGAGAGGATGGTATGGCTTCAGTGTGTGAGAGGATGGCATGGATTCATTGTGTGAGAAGATGGCATGGATTCAGTGTGTGAGATGATGGTTTGAATTCAGTCTGAGAGGATGGTATGGATTCAGTGTGAATTCAGTGTGTGAGAGGATGCTTTGAATTCAGTGTGTGAGAGGATGGTATGAATTCAGTGTGGGAGAGGATGTTATGAATTCAGTGTGAGAGAGGATGGTATGGATTCAGTGTGTGAGAAGATGGTATGGATTCAGTGTGTGAGAGGATAGTATAGAGCATGGTATGAATTCAGTGTGTGAGAGCATGGTATGGATTCAGTGCGTGAGAGGTTGGCATGGATTCAGTGTGAGAGGTTGGCATGGATTCAGTGTGTGAGAGGATGGTATGAATTCAGTGTGTGAGAGGATGGTTTGAATTCAGTGTGTGAGAGGATGGTATGGATTCAGTGTATGAGAGGTTGGCATGGATTCAGTGTGTGAGAGGTTGGCATGGATTCAGTGTGTGAGGGGATGGTATGGATTCAGTGTATGAGAGGATGGTATGGATTCAGTGTGAATTCAGTGTGTGAGAGGATGTTATGAATTCAGTGTGTGAGAGGATGGTATGGATTCAGTGTGTGAGAGATTGGTATGGATTCAGTGTGTGAGAGGATGGTATGGGTTCAGTATGTGAAATGACGGTATGAATTCAGTGTATGAGAGGATGGTATGGCTTCAGTGTGTGAGAGGTTGACATGGATTCAGTGTGTGAGGGGATGGTATGGATTCAGTGTGTGAGAGGATGGTATGTATTTAGTGTGTGAGAGGATGGTATGTGTTTAGTGTGTGAGAGGATGGTATGTATTTAGTGTGTGAGAGGATGGTATGTATTTAGTGTGTGAGAGGATGGTATGTGTTTAGTGTGTGAGAGGATGGTATGTATTTAGTGTGTGAGAGGATGGTACGAATTCAGTGTGAGGATGGTACGAATTCAGTGTGAGAGGACGGTGTGGATACAATGTTTGAGAAGATGGTATGAAAAGCTGATCTCTAAAAATAGATTACGTCAAGATTGAATTTCAGAAATTTCTCAAAGTAAATTGAATGAACCCATGTATATTCTCTGCAATGGTTGCAATAAAGTTATTTTTAAAGTATGTTTGCCAGTACAGATGAGCAAAAGTGCCTTTTAATTTCTGTCAGCACAGTACGTTGTCTTAGCGCCCCGAATAGGAAAGAATGTCACTGTAAATCGGGTATGTTTTCATGTTTTCAAGGTGTATCGTGTTCCAGGTAACGGCACGATTAACTTTGAAGAGTTTTGTCGCCTGCACGCGGCCCACACGGTGCCTCTGGAGGACCAGGAGACAGAGATCGTGAACTGCATCAACAAGGTATTTCCGGGGAACCAGGAGGAAATCCCGCTGCGAAAAGTGGAGCAGATCATGGAGAAGGTGGGTCTGCAACGTGACGAGAGCTGCCTCACCAGGGACGACCTCCACAGACTGGTCAGCGACATGGACAGGAACGGCAACGGGATGGTCGACAGACTAGGTCAGTGCAACTACATGAATCTGTACAGACATCTTGGTCTATCCACGTACATATATATCTGTACAAACATCTACATCTCTCCAACTACAAATATATGTACAAACATCTAGGTCTATCCAAGTACATATATCTGTACACACATCTAGGTCTCTCCAACTACTCATATCTGTACAAACATATGTGTCTCTCCAATTACTCATATCTGTACAAACATATGTGTCTCTCAAACTACTCATATCTGTACAAACATATGTGTCTCTCAAACTAGTCATATCTGTACAAACATCTAGGTCTCTCCAGCTACTCAAATCTGTACAAACATCTAGGTCGTTCTGACTACTCATATATCAGTTAAAGATTTTCACTTCCTTGTTTTGCAGAATTCGCAAAGATGTTGATTTCACGCGACAGTTCATAGGGAGCCCCGTGACGTTCCATCTGAAGCATTATGTAATCCCCATCTTCACATTCGCCACAGGACAACCTCAATTTCTATAACAGTACTCAGAATACTGGAGAGTCCTCAGCCTGAACAAACGTCGCTATCCAGGGGAGGCCTTCCGCTGCCTGAACATCCACCACAGCCTGAACACCCACCACAGCCTGAACACCCACCACAGCCTGAACACCCACCACAGCCTGAACACCCACCACAGCCTGAACACCCACCACAGCCTGAACACCCACCACAGCCTAAACACCCACCACAGCCTGAACACCCACCACAGCCTGAACACCCACCACAGCCTAAACACCCACCACAGCCTAAACACCCACCACAGCCTGAACACCCACCACAGCCTGAACACCCACCTCGGCCTGAACACCCACCACAGCCTGAACACCCACCACAGCCTGAACACCCACCACAGCCTGAACACCCACCACAGCCTGAACACCCACCACAGCCTGAACACCCACCACAGCCTGAACACCCACCACAGCCTGAACACCCATCACAGCCTGAACACCCACCACAGCCTAATATGTGATAATTGTACAATACAGATATTTCCCTTGTCAAAACTGCAAACTCTGTTCAAGTATACTCAAATGTGAGTACCAGTACATTTCCCAGCTGAACCCTGGCGACCAACTGTTATGAACAACGAAGCTGATGTGACTGTTCAATACTTGCACTATGTGCTGTTGAATTTGTGCAGGATTTTCTTTTGCCCATTATAGTGTAATCTGTGATATTTCTACGCAATGTAGTGCTAAGCTCAAGTTTATTTGAATGTTCCTCTACAGAAATAATGTGTTCTTTCAAATGCTCATTGTTGCCGATATGGCGGGTAACTGGGCGGGGTAACGGGGCGCCGTAGGCATGTGTATACATAACACGAACTATTGAAATTTAAACATTTTTTTATGTCCTACTTTAGGGGCGGTGGGGTAGCCTAGTGGTTTAAGCGTTCGCTCATCACGCCGAAAACCTGGGTTCGATTCCCCACATGGGTATTATGTGTGAAGCCCATTTCTGGTGTTTCCCGCCGTGATGTTGCTTGAATATTGCTAAAAGCGGCGTAAAATCAAACTCACTCACATCAACAGGCGTCAGTAGGGTTTGATCTTTAAGTACCACACAGCCTCCTTCATTATAGGCACAGTCCGTACTATTCCCCACAGTTCCCCACCAGAATCCTTACCCCCACCCCCTACCCCCCAACACCACCTTTGCCCCTTACAGTTTCACCACGGAGGGCCTGTTTCATCGCATTGATCATGTTTGAAACAAACACTTCTTTTTGGCACTTTTAAGGAATAGGATTTCGAACGCTATGAGATCCAATAGTAGACATACGTATTTGTTTGTCAGACAGAGTTATGTTATAGTACACACGCTGACAGAACTGTTGTCATGTCACACTGAAAGAACTGATCACTATTGATCAGTGCTGCTTTTAACGACAATGATCATATGTCAGGTAGGTGTATATCATCCCGGCAATATGCAAAGTCCAAGTAGCCATAAGCTTTTGTTGAAGTATAAATATGTACTCATATATAACATATATATTTATTGTATATAGATATATTTGTATTTGGGATCACATTGACTGACATGTTTAGTGTGAAATATTCTTATCGCAATACTATTTTCATCCCGTTTATCTGTTTTGTTTGAACATCATTTTACGTAAGATTAATTATAACTTCAATAAAAACAATTATCGCAAAAGTGAAAAACCTTTTCCTTTTTCTGAAATTTAATCAGAGCACGTTTGCTTCAAATGCTCCTGGAATGTTGGCAGAACCATGAATCAACACACACTTGTAGCAGTCATGTTTCCGTGACACAGAATACATACACGTTTGTTTCAATGTGTATTCTGTGTCATGCAAACATCACTGCTACACGTGTGTGTTGATATAGACCACGCCATAAAACATCAATGCAAGACGTGTGTGTTCATATAGACCACGCCATAAAACATCACTGCAAGACGTGTGTGTTCATAAAGACCACGCCATAAAACATCAATGCAAGACGTGTGTGTTCATAAAGACCACGCCATAAAACATCAATGCAAGACGTGTGTGTTCATATAGACCACGCCATAAAACATCAATGCAAGACGTGTGTGTTGATATAGACCACGCCATAAAACATCAATGCAAGACGTGTGTGTTTATAAAGACCACGCCATAAAACATCACTGCAAGACGTGTGTGTTCATAAAGACCACGCCATAAAACATCAATGCAAGACGTGTGTGTTCATAAAGACCACGCCATAAAACATCACTGCAAGACGTGTGTGTTCATAAAGACCACGCCATAAAACATCAATGCAAGACGTGTGTGTTCATATAGACCACGCCATAAAACATCACTGCAAGACGTGTGTGTTCATAAAGACCACGCCATAAAACATCAATGCAAGACGTGTGTGTTCATATAGACCACGCCATAAAACATCACTGCAAGACGTGTGTGTTCATAAAGACCACGCCATAAAACATCACTGCAAGACGTGTGTGTTCATAAAGACCACGCCATAAAACATCAATGCAAGACGTGTGTGTTCATAAAGACCACGCCATAAAACATCACTGCAAGACGTGTGTGTTCATAAAGACCACGCCATAAAACATCAATGCAAGACGTGTGTGTTGATATAGACCACGCCATAAAACATCAATGCAAGACGTGTGTGTTGATATAGACCACGCCATAAAACATCACTGCAAGACGTGTGTTTTGATATGTGTTATATATGTGTGTGTGTGGCAGTGATGTTTCCATGACACAGTATATGTATAAACGCACGTGTGGCAGTGATTTTTCCATGACATGGTATATATCACCACACGTGTTGCAGTGACGTTTCCATAGCATGGCATACATCAACACATGTGTCACCGGTGACGTGTCAATGGCATAGTGCGTATCAACACACATGTAGCAGTGACGTGTCCATGGCATGGTATATATAAACACACGTGTTGCAGTAACGTTTCCATAGCATGGCATACATCAACACATGTGTCACCGGTGACGTGTCCATGGCATGGTGTACATCAACACACATGTTGCAGTGACGTGTCCATGGCATGGTATATATAAACACACGTGTTGCAGTGACGTGTCCATGGCATGGTATATGTAAACACACATGTTGCAGTGACGTGTCCATGGCATGGTATATATATAAACACACGTGTTGCAGTGACGTTTCCATAGCATGGCATACATCAACACATGTGTTGCAGTGACGTGTCCATGGCATGGTGCGTATCAACACACATGTAGCAGTGACGTGTCCATGGCATGGTATATATAAACACACGTGTTGCAGTGACGTGTCCATAGCATGGCATACATCAACACATGTGTTGCAGTGACGTGTCAATGGCATGGTGCGTATCAACACACATGTAGCAGTGACGTGTCCATGGCATGGTATATATAAACACACGTGTTGCAGTGACGTTTCCATAGCATGGCATACATCAACACATGTGTTGCAGTGACGTGTCCATGGCATGGTGTATATCAACACACATGTTGCAGTGACGTGTCCATGGCATGGTATATATAAACACACGTGTTGCAGTGACGTTTCCATAGCATGGCATACATCAACACATGTGTCACCGGTGAGGTGTCAATGGCATGGTGCGTATCAACACACATGTAGCAGTGACGTGTCCATGGCATGGTATATATAAACACACGTGTTGCAGTGACGTGTCCATGGCATGGTATATATATATAAACACACATGTTGCAGTGACGTGTCCATGGCATGGTATATATAAACACACGTGTTGCAGTGACGTTTCCATAGCATGGCATACATCAACACATGTGTCACCGGTGAGGTGTCAATGGCATGGTGCGTATCAACACACATGTAGCAGTGACGTGTCCATGGCATGGTATATATAAACACACGTGTTGCAGTGACGTGTCCATGGCATGGTATATATATATAAACACACATGTTGCAGTGACGTGTCCATGGCATGGTATATATAAACACACGTGTTGCAGTGACGTTTCCATAGCATGGCATACATCAACACATGTGTCACCGGTGAGGTGTCAATGGCATGGTGCGTATCAACACACATGTAGCAGTGACGTGTCCATGGCATGGTATATTTAAACACACGTGTTGCAGTGACGTGTCCATGGCATGGTATATATAAACACACATGTTGCAGTGACGTGTCCATGGCATGGTATATATAAACACACGTGTTGCAGTGGCGTTTCCATAGCATGGCATACATCAACACATGTGTCACCGGTGAGGTGTCAATGGCATGGTGCGTATCAACACACATGTTGCAGTGACGTGTCCATGGCATGGTATATATAACCACACGTGTTGCAGTGACGTTTCCATAGCATGGCATACATCAACACATGTGTCACCGGTGACGTGTCCATGGCATGGTGTATATCAACACACATGTAGCAGTGACGTGTCCATGGCATGCTAACTATCAACAAACGAGTCGCAGTGACGTCTCCATGGCATGGTATATATCAACACACGTTTCGCAGTGACGTTTATATTGCATGGTGTGGATGCAAGACAACAAAACTAACATTCGAATCAACAGGGCGTGACGTTTAACGTATTACAGTTTATAGTTAGAGCCATGGCTTTAGGAACAATTGGTGACAGTTGGTGACAGTTGATGACAAGTTGGTGACGAGTTGGTGACAAGTTGAAACGTCGACAAGTTAATGAGGTTCAGAAAACTACAATAAACAATAGCTTTCTGTAAATTCAGAAACATTTACCAATTTTCCTTGTATTTAACACATTCGAAATTGCATCCAAATGAAGCAATAAATCCATTGACTACATTGAAATTATGGAAAATTACCAAGCACACATTTGCAAATATAATGTAACAGTTGTGTGAAATATCTAAACAATTTTGCACTAAATTAATATTTTGGCATATATGCAATTTCAGGGTGTTCAGACATAAACATAAAACCTAACAATGAAAGGGAAAGGTACTCACATGTGTCTTTACATAGTTCAAATATAGCAGGCAGTAAGGTGAGAACCTGGCAGCATGGAGGTCCAATACACACTGGTGAGCATGTGCTTCGAAATGCATGAGCTTTATGTGGTCGCGACATGACCTGTGAGCTTTGACATTGCGCATGAAGGTTAAGGTCACGAGGTAGTGGAGAGTTACTGAGAACATGTAAACAGTGTATACACGTATCTTAGAATTGATACATATTACGTGGAAATTGAACTTTAGAACATTAGTGTAATAATATAGTGTCTTAATCATTGGACCACCATGGATAATAAGTTAAAGGAATTGTAATAATTTTAACTTGATTTCATGTCATTTTACTAACAGTTCATACTTTGAAACATTAGGAAATCTTGCATCTACACACTCGGCCTCTTAAACATACTGACGATGTGTATAACAGCAAAAAACAGACCTACAAAAATGCAAGATGACAATGTTATTAACAAGACGTCAAACATACATTTTGATCAACTGTTTGAGGGAATGAGTAAAACGAGTTTGTGAAAAGGTCTTCGAAGTTCAGAGTCTTTTGTTTTCAATATGACACTCCTGACATATGCGCTTTCATCAGCCTCAGTTCCGGTCACACGACCCATAGACCAAGTGCTTCGGGGAAGTGTATCATCTTTTATGAGCACGATATCGTTCAATTGGAAATTGCGGTTTGGAGAGTTCCATTTTTGACGCTGTTGTAGTGTTACAAGATACTCTTTTTTCCAACGTGACCAGAAGACATTTGCCAGATGTTGAATGCGTCTCCAGCGCTGACGTGCATAAAAATCGTTTAGCTGAAATTCGCCAGGTGGGGGAATAAAAACTTTTGATTTCATCATGAGAAGGTGATTTGGCGTGAGTGGATCAAGATCGTCAGGGTCACTAGAAACTGGTGTAAGAGGTCTTGAATTCAAAATTACTTCTACCTCGCATAGGAAAGTTCTGTACATTTCATCATCCAGTTGCTGACTAAACTCGTGAAGTAAAGGATTCAGGACAGTGCGGACGGATCTGATCAGCCTTTCCCACACTCCACCCATATGACTTGCCGAGGGTGGATTGAAGTTCCATCTAATATCTTGCTGAAGCAGATGAGAATGTAACTTTGACTGATCCAAATCATCTATTGCTTGACGAAGTTCCCTGGCGCCGCATTGTTGTCACAGTGGATTTCTTTAACTGGACCTCAACGAGCAATGAAGCGTCGAAGAGCATTAATGAAGGAATCTGTGTTCGAAGAATTTGCGGTTTCGACATGAACGTAAAAAGTGCACCATAACGTTTGACATACTTACGCCCTTCTTTCACAACATGTGGCCCAAAGAAGTCAATACCTGTAAATGTGAAAGGAGGCGCTGGGTTGACACGGTTGGCTGGAAGTTCTGACATTAGTTGTACACTTGTAGGCATTTTATATTTCCTGCATACAACACATTTGTTGAGAACTGACCTTACAGCAGAGTTTCCGTTTGGAATCCAGTATGTTTATCTCAAGACAGACAACATTTGATTACGACCTGCATGGCCAAGTTTATCATGGATCTGTTGAATGATCAAGGTAGCTACATGACTTTTACGGGGCAAAATAATTGGATGTTTGACAAGATCAGGCACATTTGCTTTGCTTAAACGACCACCAACTTGTAGTAAACCATCGTTGACGAAAGGATTAAG